CAAAAATTTCACCAGTCAGCATGACCGGACTATAGCCTTGCAATTGATGTTACATTTTTTTGGGGACAGATAGAGCTTTCTTTTGTGACCCCGCGGGGGGTTATTTAATTTTTTACTATAATGAAAAAAGTACCATCAATGTAAAAAAAAAAAAAAGTTTCCCTACGTTGTTATAAAACATTTATTCTTACCCATATTTTTAGTAAAACATAAAAGTCGGGGTCACGTCAGGTAAATAGACACCAAACATGTCAAGCCTTAAAATTGCGTGCGCCCGCAAAATCGCAAAAACCGCACATAGGCAACAATTAAAATGCTTTTACTGCTCATCAGTTTAGTGTTATCTGTGATTAATGGCTCTAAAATTATTGCTCTCACTCCGACGTTTGCGGCGTTATGTAACATGTGAGGCACAATCGTCGTTTTCGTACGTAGGCGCACCCGACGCATATCTGCGTGTGTATGTGGGGGGCGGGGACTTAAAAAATGTTTTTCTTTTTTACATTTTTTTTATGCTTTATTTTTTTATGATTCTTTAATTTTTGTATTACTTTTTTTTTTACACACAACTTTATTGCTATTACATGGGGGGCTAAGAAGCCCCCTATGGCATAGGCAATTTACATGACAGGTCCTCTTTATGGAGACATCAGGGGTCTCAAAGACCCCTAATGTCACCTAGGGACGCCCAGAGAAGCTGATGAAGCAGAGATCGGCTTCATCAGCTTCTCTAGCTGGAGAGTGACACTGAATGCAGGAAGTGATGTAATATACATCACTTCCTGCATTCGGGGACTGAGAGGAGATCAAAGGGAGTTCGTATACTGAACTCCCTTTGATCTCCTGTCACAGAGCCGTGCCTGTCCCGGCCGCATCAGGCACAGCGGATCTCGGGACCGGCAACGGCAGGGACAGCTGCTAATACAAGCGATCGAGCGTCTATAGAGACGCTCGATCGCTTGACTGTGTTAAGCTCCCAGCCGGCAGTGTAATTACAACGGCCGGCCGGGAAGCTGTTCGTCGGGCTCCACCGTCCTCTCGTTACAGACGAGTGGATTTTTCAAGCCGTGTGTGTGTGTGTGTATATATATATATTGGTAATGATTTAAAATTTTCGTGTTCGATTTATTGAATTTTTTTTAATCGATTTAATTTCGATTAATTATAACGCACATACAGATCCAACTACATTGGCCTATACACATACAGCACAGCAACGAAGTAATAAAATGAACCAGGATCACACTAATTCAGCACATTATTAATCTCAGGCTCGGGGACAGCTCAGGCTGGGAGTTATAGTCCCTCTACACACAAGGACAGCTCAGGCTATCAGTCACGCAGCTAGGCGGAATTGTCGGGAGCTGCTGCGCCTTAGTATACCACGAGCAGCAGCTCGCGGTATACTGAGCCTAGGGTGACGGGAGGACGCGAGTTTGTGTCCTCCCGTTACCCTAAGGAGAACTATGGGGAACAGGCTTAACCCCATAGTTCTCCTTTAAGGGTAGGTACAGTATTTGTAGGGAGCAGTGCTGTGGTTTTCTGCCTTGTGGGGTAAATGGTAGTACTACTTGTTGCGTCCACACCAGCATCCGAGACATCCGAATCCACTGCAGATGAGATGGATGGCTCACCGCCCCAAGGGTTCCCCTGGCGAACCTCTCCAGATACACCGCCAACTTCTTGGTTTGGTCCCTGCCATGCTTGGACGGCATCCGTAAGGAACTGGCAACTCCCCTCCCCCCTCATGAGCAACCAGGCCCAGAGTCACTCCTGCCTCTTTTTTCTTCATAATGTCTCACCACCACAACGGGGATTACAGCAATACCAGTACAAAAAGGGTGAGGCGAGCCTGAAGAGAATACTCCGGGCCGGTGCAGGTGAGTACAGGAGAGGATGCTGAAGATTTAGTCAGCATGAGGCACCAGAGCTCTCTTTTACCCCTGTGTTATTTCATATTTACTGTTGTAAAAAAGAAAAAAATTTTTTTTTTTTAGCTCTTTCCGTAACAAAAAAATTTTTTTTGCAAACGGTATACATTCTTTTAAAACAAGGAAATCTCGTGCCTCCTGTCACATTCTCTAAATTGTAAAACAATTGGGGAATCCAGTGGTGAACCAGGCTAGTGGGCAAAGCCAGGCCTTCATTTAACACTTACCTTGCTTCTGACTCTCCAAAGCAAATAAGCCTGAGTGATTTCAGTCATCATTAGTATTCAAATATCCATTAATTTTGAAGCTGTCACTAACATAGTCGTTGATTTTTAAAAATCAGTTTAAAGTTCAAGTTGCCTTTTTATTCTGTATTTTGTTTTGTTTTAGACGATAGAAGCGAACTGGAGGTGTGGCAGGCATAATCTTCAGAGAATACAGTGTCGTTCTGAAAACAGTAAAGGAGTATATTGTCTTCAGTATGATGATGAGAAGATAATTAGTGGCCTCAGAGATAACTCTATAAAGGTAGGTGCTCACTGATTCAAAATGGAAAATACATCCTGGGTATGATATTAATACCAGCTTTTAAAGAAGTAATCATGCCTGAAGAATTAACCTATGTGATTTTGAAAGCTTGCACTTCAAAGTATTTTAAGTTATCCACACAACACATATTGCCTGCATTTTCACTTTCCACTCATGGCATATGTACCTCTTTAATTTGGGCACTGGGAAGGTTCTGTCTCCAGTCTTGAATTTAGATAAAACGCACAATATCGCATCCCCAGCACATCAGTTGGTCTTTTCCCTATATCCTGCACTCGGAACACACCTCGCTTCCCAGTATCCCTGCCAGCAGTGAGATGGTCCCTCCAGTACACAATCCTTTATATAGCTCATATTTTTAAAAAATACAACAAAAGAACAACAAATAAACCCCATGAGCTCTGGAGGCTGGCTTCAAGCAATTAATAATCCTATTTCTCCTTTAAATAGCTTCTCATGTTTACTGTCTGTGGCACTGAAAGTCAATCAGCTTTCTTTCCAAATCCATGTCTAATAGATATAGAGAATGTCTTTCATAAGAACCTTTTTATTTACCACAGTAAAAAAAAAAAAAGCTGTGCCCAATCATACTACACTTTCCACTCCTTTACCCCTATGTCTTTTACACCTTGTCTGTACGTTGTGTTTGCTCTCATAACCTGCTCTCACCACCACCTCTCCCAACATTTTTTACTGTCATACCCTTTGCACTCCACTTTATACTGCCCACACTTCTTTACTACACAGTCTGACCACTGTCCAACCCCACGATCATACCCTTTGCACACTCTCACACTTCCCTCTGCAAGCCTCTCCTTCAAATACCGCCTAGCATCATATCCCCACCATCATTCTCTCTGCACACCTCCCCTGCACATACTGCTCACTATTATACCCTATGCACTTCTCTTCTGAACAAACTGGGTGCCATCATACTCATTCAAGATAAATTATTTCTGAACTGATGGGAGACCCTAATCATTAGAAATTCATCACTGATTTCCAGTCCTGTCAACAATTTCTTATAAGGTTCCCTGAAATGTTTGTAGATCAAGCAGGGAGCTTTTTTTTTTTTTTTTTTTTTTTTTTTCCACACAAGGGGGGGGGACAAACAT